ATACAAGGACTACCATCCTGTAATGGGGTATACTCATTAAAAGTGGCAAAGCTAAACATGCTAAAGGTAGGATTTCTTGACCGCCTCTACCTTTAGGAACAAGCCGGCTTGACCACTGTCGGTCTAAAGCTGGACAAGATAAAGGTAATTCGCTGCCATACTATCGACAGGAAACGAGAATGTCGAGGCGATGAAGTTGCTCAGCACTGAGAAAGAGAGTACTAAAGACTCAGATAGACTCAGCAGATGAGTGACGAGCATAGCGAATATGATCTTGTCATTGCTGATCTCGATGAACATGCAGTTATTCGAATGCCATTTTTAGCTCATGGATGACTGGCAACACTAATTGAAGAATGAAATTGTTAAAAGAATTTAAAACGTCGTTGGAAGAATAACCTGCGATCAGGTGTCCTTCTTCCCTTTTTGTTTGGGAGACGAGTAGAGACAAGGGGAAAAACAACGTCTGATCGCAGGTTATTGAAAGAGTAGAGCGTGGCTCATTGTTATTTGGGCGAATTGGGTACATTTTTGCCCAATAACATGGAGTATAGATGCGACTGACTGAAAGTGAAAGAGCTATCGCGTAATCGCGGCTTGAAGATGGGATCTCGTTCATTGTGAAGCTAATAAGCCAAAGAATCCTAGCTATGTAAAATGGATCTGGAATTGTTAAAGCGACTTCAGGGAATATTTATGTTACTTGGTTTATTTGGACAAACCGACGAATCGACGATTTGTATTTGTATGTTGTAAAGTGCTCACACAAAAAATAAAACCTTACATCCTTATCATGTTAAACATCCTCGACATTTTTTTTAATATCCTTTATTTTGGCAGTTTTGGCTGAAACTCCTGCCACATACATTTTGATGTAGTGCAATGCATATGCATCTTTCACGGCTTTTACTGCTGTACATTACTTCCAAGTCAAACGGAAAAGTTATGACGAAAAGTTGGTCACGGCGCTGGCTCAATGCGCCTTTATTGATGACGGAGCCATCTTAAACAAGTTATATTACATTCTGCCAAAACAAAACGAAAGTCATAACAACTTCTGGACCCCATGAACCGGGGTTTTCAACTTAAAATGAATATTTCCTTTTATTAAGTTGCATAATAGGTCGCATACTTATCCAGTTCATCCAAGGGCAGGCTTTAATACAGGAGCCTTTAATTACCTTCTATTCAACTAAGCCATAGCTGAAGTTACGGTACATTAGCACGCATTGAATGAGAAGACAAAATAAAACAAATCAAAACAAAGAAAAAAAAAGAGCAAAAGACGAAAAAATTAGTCCAGGCTTCAGTTAAAGAACGAACTATTATAGAACATATTGAAATGGAAAAGCGAACAGGAAAAGTGGCATTGGAAATTACAAATGACCATTTCACCTTTTGAAAAGACGTTCATTTTCTTTTCGTATCTCATTGCTACAGATGTTCAAGACATCTGGCTTCTTCGGTTCCGGTCAAATATATCTGAAAAACTACTTTTTTTTCTATAATTTTGTCACGCATGAAACTCCTGATCGAGGCTGTTGACTGAGTTTCATTTGTGAGTTTAAAAATGTTTTGCTCACCTATTCACAACTTGAATTTGCGGGTTTCATTATTATTATTATTATTATTATTATTATTATTATTATTATTGTTATTAGTAGTAGTAGTAGCAGTACTGTATAACCTCCACCCACTTGTAACCGTTATGTGGTAGTGGCCAACTCGAAAGCTTAGCTCCTTTGGCTGCTACACACTCTTTTCCTTTGTTATGTTTAATTCCATGTATAGTTAGCTCAGTTTTTTTTACTTCTTTTTTTTTCCTTATTATTGTTGTATTGTAATTGAATAAGTGTGCATAAATGAACTTGAACTTGAACTTGTTTTAGCTTCAGTATTTTTTTCTTCTTTGTGACAGTTTTTCGCAACATTTTCAGTTGCCCCACATTGGGAGTTTTGAATAAATATTGGGTACTGAACAACACTTCGAACGCAAAAAATACGCAATACTCAGTTGCCTTTAAACTACACTGATTTTATTATGTCACACTACACTTTCATTACAATGTTTAGAAAGATCAAAAATGTTACGCATTAAAGAATGTCAATGACGGTGCCAGGGGAAATTTAAGCCGTGGATGGTTATTTCTCTTTTATCTCTCTTATATCTATTAACCGTTGGTAAAGATATCCTAATGAGTTCAGTCGCTCCATTTAAGGGAATCCGGATTCCGGAATCTGGAAAATCTAGGAATGCGGAATCACGAATCCACCGCGTGTAACCCAAAATCTAAGACTGTCTTACATATCCTTACATTGGGGCGAGTTCATCCATGTTGCTGATCGTGTCAGGTGTTTCGTTCTAGTTCTTGAACTCAAATCATGCATGTTATGTCCAAGTTGCGACATAGAAATCTCCCCCTGTCCGCCAAAGATTATCATTGTTTTCAATGCTGTGATTACACTATTTTCAAAGGGTATATACAATTTGCAGAGTAATAATTAAAGGTTTCTTAGTACACGAACAAGTAAAAACTAACGCGGATAAAATTAAACTACATGCACACATGGTAAATTTAAGGTAAATGAATATAGAGCCAAGGTATGGGTACCTACGGACGTTTATTTCGTCGCTTGTCTTCAATCAAATCATCACTGAGTTTTTCATGCGAAATCGTCGCACACCAAGAATTGTTTTGAGTGGCATTAACCAAAACGACGACGGAAACGAGAAAATAATAATAATAATAAAAAGCATGAACAGGTTAATAAGCACAACAAAACACTGAACGTGCAGCACACTATTTGGCAGACTTTTTTGCCGTCATTGCACGACTAACGCTGACTTGTCAAACTTGGTTGAAATGGCATTACGATCGTCGCTTTAATCTTTATCATCGTCGCTTTATCAACTTGAGCGATCGTCGCAATTTTGATGTCGTCGGAAATACCCATACAGAGGCTCAATTTAGTTCCAAATGAATATAATTTTAAACTCTACATATTACCTGATGCTAAAATTTCACATAAAACCCTTTACCTTTCCTGTTTGGATCTTATATTCTTCTAATCTTAGGACTTTCCGATATTTGACTACTTTATTTAAACCTTTTATCGCTAACGTTTCTTAATAGTACACACGTGTTTACGTTATTATACACCTATAGTCTTGAACAGCGAGATTAAACTCTTTGTTTAAAAACTTGAACATGGTCTTCTATATATGCTGTTCCAGGAAAACTTGGTGGTTATCAAGCTAAACTTATTTCTTATCTAGCGCATGTCTGGTAAATATAAAAGAGCAGTGTATTATTTCTAATATACAGTTTTCTCATATTCTTTTCCTGTCCTTACGTTCTTTATTCATTGATCGAACCCTATTCCTGTAGTGTGGTGTGACTATTTACACTGTTTTTTGAGTGCATTGCGAGAAAAATGGGAAATAATGGAGATAATGGAGGAGATGACCCGTCAAAGGGTCGACTGGGTCCGTTTGCCTGTCTTTGCTAAGCTACTTTCACGGCACTTTTCCCTGAAAGTAGCTGGTACCTTAAGTTTGGAAATAGATTGAAGTGAAATTGGCCAGTGTAAATCGCACATTGCAGATAGCAGATTAGACTGGTTATAAACGCAACGCAGTTTTTACGAGCCTTGTTTAAACGTCCACCACGAAGTTACAATCCCTTGCGAAGGTGCGTTGGGTGCTTAAAGGTGTTATCATGCCTCTGTCTTCGCGCATAAATGGTGCCTTCATCGTGCTAAAATGGTGCCCCTTTTCGTGCAAAAACCGCGACAAACACACGGCGCTCGAAATGACAGAGAACTATAATCGAGCCTCGATGCACGGTTATGTATATCACGCCTTTGCAATGAAATTTATGCAATGAAAAGTTCACTTTCACTTTGATTGATGCAGGTGCATCTCTAAACGCTTTGTCTATCACTGGTTAAACTCTTGGTCTGTTCTGGCCTCAGTTGTTAGAAAAGTTGATAGCGCTATCCAACTTTTGAACAACCGGGACCTCGTCAATAGTTTATTGCATAGGTAAGTGAGATCGAAACTTTACAATTGTTTTTAAAACGTTTAGACAAAATGGGCGATTGGCGTCTCTATAAGCCTCGTCGATTACTGTAATGCACATTGATTGCAGAGCAACCGAGCAGAAAATCTAGATTCTTTGTAAGAGTTAAGCGGAAATGTTAGTAACAGTAAATGCAGCGTTAGACCAGTTTTGTCCAAAAAAAAAAAAAAAAAAAAAAACAGCCTGCGCATGGCCGTCGACACCGTCGGAAAGAGAGCATTCGAAATTAATGCAAGCTTGCTAAATTTTTGTCCAATATTTCAGAAACGGGCGCTACCAGAACATGCAGAATGTTTGTGCCCCTCACCAAACAAACGTTTGTGAAATGCAATGAGTCTGAAGTTTGTTTTCCGGCAAATCTACTGTCCAACTGGTCCGATTTCAAAAATGGAAAAAATCGTGGAAGAATCTAGTGATTGCAAGAGAGGCTCGTTGATTGTGGTAAGAAAACACGAGTTTTGTCAACTAACTGGGATTCAGTTACTAAATTTTCTGCCGTCTAGTCTTTGGAATTATCTACTTTTACAAATCTGTAAGGAGGATAGGATACTTTAGAGAGGTTCAGTTTTTTTCCCCAAAAACACGTCTTTTACGGTTGTTTCAGCCGCAGGGAAAACACGCTTAATTGGGAAAACAAAAAACAAAAACAAAACTGAAAACTGTCCACTTCTTATAAACGAATATCCCCATTGCAATGCAAGCTGATTTGAAATTAAATAAAAAGTTAATCACCGATAGAAAGCAGTAGTTTTCCTTTTAGGTTCTACTTAATGGATGATTAATTGATGAGAAACATATATGCCGCTAACTACGGTGTAAAGTAATATTTTCAAACTAAAACTGTTACTTCGGCTTACTGTAATATTGATTAAAAGACCTAGGGCACAAACTGACCGAAGGTGATTCAGAAGTTATCTTTTAGGTAGTTTCGTAGAATATTTCTAATTCGTCTGGAGTAAAGTTGTAAGTGCCTGCCAAAAAATTCTGGGTGAAGGTGTCTCCATAGTTGTACCCGCTCGGTGGGCTGTAGCTATAGCCAAGGTTGGTACTGGAACTGCCACTAGATGGCGCGTAGTTGTAAATGATAATGTCATGGCCTCCTCCGAAAATAGGTCCATAAGACGAGCAGTCGTATATGGAATTGTCGTTAGAACTATGTTGCCCTGTCTGAGGCAGTTTCACAGGCGCCCATCCTGGTTTGTTAACCAGCGAGAAAAGAAATGCCTGGGAATCATATCGAGCTTGGCAGCCGGAACCTGTTGGGAAAATAAGAAAAGAAAAAAGATAGAAGTACAGACCCTAATGTAAATTCCTCGTTTTGGTAATAAAGGGACTAAATTATAAAATGTTTTATTGTCTTGTTTTGGTCTGCAGGCTGCTAGCGGTAGCCGCGAATCTAGCTCGACATTATTATTATTAAAAAATATATTATTATTATTACTATTATTATAATTATTGTTATTATTATTATTATTATTATTATTATTATTATTATTATTATTATTATTATTATTATGGCAGTAAAAACTTCTCAAAGCTCTTAAGTGACAAAAAAAAAACACACACACACATACACACACACACCGGGTGCATTTTATAATCTGTGGACTAAATCTAAAATCTGGAACACTCTTAAAATCTAGATATTATGTACAACCAATAAACTTCATTAAAAATGTTAAGAAAAAAATTCAAGTTCCTTTGCCTCTTATTAAAAAAAGTCCAGAAAAATAAGTCAGAAAATTGCCTAAAACGTATTTAAAACAACAACTAAAAGTTACAGAAAATGTGTTGAAAGTTGCCTAAAGGTACTTAAAAAATGCCTAAAAATTGCTAAAAGTTAAATTGGATTACGCCTTATAAGATAATCATAACTTTCAAGTCTCTTAAAACATAGCTCAAAGCTATGTAAGGATTTTAAATGATCTTGCAATGTTCAAAGAGTGTGACAAAACACTTTTCTGCATTTTCCTTAGTGTCTTCCTTCCTGGCCTTTCTCTGATCAAAGCCTTTATACTCTTAGCCGTGTTCATAGATGCACCTCAATGATATCATCACCCCTGGGTCACTTCTGCATCTTGAGCTCAAAACCGACGAAGTTAAGTGGCGCCAATCTCATGATCTTCTCCGACTCCTTTGCTTCTCTGTTTTCCAACCAAGGGCAGCTCATTTCTAGTAGTGTGACTTTCTTATCTTCATTATTAATTATTCTGACATTCATTGTGTTTACTCTGACTTCAGTGTTCTGTGCATAAACTAGCACATCCCAATAAGCCTTAGTTCTCTGGTTTTGGCCTACTGGTTTTGGTTCGGTAGGAGAAAACTAAGGGGGAATATTGTCAGGTTTTTTTAGCAACTCAAAGAGAATTGTGCCGAGCGAGGTATTTGGTCTGCGCCAGCGCCGAGCAGCCAGCCAGCACGCGCGGCGTGGACTATTCAGCATGTGACATCAGGTAATGGATTCAATCCTTCTTCTCATGTTGATAAACTTTCATTGAAAGGAGCCACTGGTACAACTCCTGTGCGCCAGCGATGGTACTAGACGGCTGACTGATCTCCAGGCTGCTAGCCACGCAAAAAAGTCACCGTCCAAGTCGTTGTCATTCCACCTCGTTGCCACTAGCAGTTTCGTGGCCAGTTTTCACTGTTAACTTCTTCTATTCACTTTTTCACTAATTTTTTTCTTGGCGCATCTCCCAATTAACGCTCCATTCACCTCATCTGTTTTAGTAACGGGAATTGGGTTGAAGTTCCAAACCCAGTTCCTGGGCATATTTCTTGGCATCTTTAATTAACGCTCGTCGACCACTTTCCTCAACAGTCTCTTCATACCTTCTAACCACCTGAATTACGGGGTCTGGTTAGTGTACAGCTTGACCGCCGCTTTGATCTTAGTCAATATATATTATTCCTTCACTGACTTTTATAACGCCTCTTCCTCAGTGTTTCCCAGGGAGGTACATCAGTTCTGTAGATCCTAAGGGGTGTTTGCCTCCGCTCTAGGTGATCACCTTTCTTATTTCTCTGTCTAGTTGTTGTAGGTCAGCAATTATATTGGCCAGACTTGAGTCTAGACATTAAATATCGCAGGACGGGCAGTGTAAACCTGTTAGATGCCAGCACTTCATTATAGAGGGACAAAGGGATAGCCCAGATAACCTAATTGACATTCTCTGTAGAAAAACTTTCGCTGCACCTTTTAGGACAAGCTGACCTTCTTGTTTGAGATTTTCCGTAACCGCTAGGAGTCCCTGCTTCAAACTCTGTGTCAATTCAGAGTCGCCGATCTTCACTCCTTCTGATCTGAATTCTCAGAGAGACATCCTCTCTACAAAAATTGGGGGGCCTTCAATTTTTTTTGGATGGAATATGGGGGGCCTTAAAATGCCAAAAGATGACCTTGGGGGGTCTTTAAGTTTCTTTTAAGTAGCATCCGTACTGAGCAGCACGATGTTTGAGTATGAAAGGACCTGATTTTGATTCAGTTTTACACAAAGTCCTATATTGTGTAATACTAAAACAATTTAATCAGCTTTTTTACAAAAAGATTTAATGCTCAAATAGTAGGTGCATCAACACAACATCCATTATTGTGTAACACTGAAACAATTTCATCAGCATTTTAACAAATGATTACGTGCATAAAGTCATGTTATGCAATCTCACTATCCCATTCATTATTTGTAGATGAGGTTGATGTGGACTCACTGTCTGTGTCACCGTCAAGTTTTTTGCTATTAGAGCATGTACTGCTCATATAAAAAGCAGTAAGCTTTGACTGATTATTTTCTTTCTTCCTTGAAGCGGTCCTGTCGGCCTCTCACCTTTCGATGGCTTGTCTTATCTCAATTATAACACAATCACTGATATATCCTTGCTCTATAAGCTGTTTGAGAGGCTCTAGGTGAAATCTCTTTCTCAGTTTAGTGTGAAGTGCTTCTCTGTTGTTAGTTGGCACATCCGAAAGTGACAGTGAGTAAGAACGGTAAAGTAAAGAAAATGTTATTTGTTATTACCATTTGGGTATTATGTATAAGAAAGGGGGGCCCTTAAATCTTTTAACATGATTGAAGGGGGGGTACCTAAAAAACATGGGTGCTATTAGTGGGGGTGCGGAAAAAATTTTGAATAAAAAACAATTTCTCCTCCACTCCCCCCTCCAACTTAAATTATGACTCGTCCCTAAGTGATCACATTCACGGCTTGGGTGTGGTCCAGCTCAAACTATCCCCCTCTGCTGGTATGTTATTGAAACTATCAGGAAGAAGGCCATTTTTGTAATATACCTAACTTTGCCTATTCGAAGTTTGATAATATCTTCTAATTTTAGAATCCGTAAGCTCATAAAAATGGTATTGGTATTTGCATCAAAAGTACTCCTGAAAACTATCCTAATAAGCCGTTGATAAAGAGTATGTAAACGTTTGATATTTTACTGATAATTTCAGCTGCAGACTTTTGTAAACTACAATAGAAAGTACTTACAATAAGGAGTCCTTATTAAGGCATAAACTTCATTTGTAATGCTTAGAATACTAGAAAAATAATAGAGAGCTTAATAGCCTGAAACCAGCTTGGTAATTTCTTCAATTTGGAATTCACAATTTTCCATCAGTTGATTTGGGTCTTAACGAGAACAAAATATGTTAGTATTATCGGCAAATAGCATGAAATCGAAGGCCTTTGACACATTGCACAAATCATTGATGTATAACAAAAACATACTAGACCTAAAATCGGTCCTTGGGGCACTCGACAATAATGTATATTTAGAGAAGGAATTATATCCATACAAAGTCCCGTTCAAACTGAGTTCTAAACGAAGACAACTCTTGAAGCACTGTAAAGTAGAAACGCGAACCCTATAAAACTCTAGATTAGCAAGTATCGTACCAAGTAGGATATCATGATTTACAGTGTCGAAGGCCTTGGATAAGTTAATAATTAGGATCAATCTTAGCCGCTGGGCACAGAACCTTATATAAGAACAGTAACAGAATATAATATACCAGACCTTACATATTCCACTGCACTAAAATTACCCTATTTTAGTTGCCGTGTCACTAATTAACGCAATTTAATTAAAATAGCTCATTACTAAAAGTCCTTCTTACTAACGCCTTCTTTAACACTTAAAAAGTATGTAAAAAGTTTTTGTTGTCTTTTGTGTATGACTTACAGAAGGCTTTCCTAAGATAATTACAGAAGGCTTGTGTAAGAGTTCTTACTGAACGCGTAAGAGAGCTTACACAAGCCTTTTGTAAGATACTTACAGAACGCGTAAGAAGGCTTACAGAAGGCTTGTGTAAGACTCTTTATACAAGGCTTGTGTAAGTATTTAACACAAGGCTTGTATGAAGAGTCCTTACAGAAGACTTGTGTAAGGGTGCTTACAGAAGGCTTGAGTAAGAGACCCTACACAAGGCTTGTGTAAGAGTCCCTACACAAGGCTTGTGACCCTACACAAGGCTTGTGTAAGATACTTACAGAAGGCTTGTGTAAGAGTCCTTACACAAGGCTTGTGTAATAGTCCCTACACAAGCCTTGTGTAAGCAACCTTACACAAGCCTTGTGTAAGAGTCCTCACACAAGGCTTGTGTAAGGTTGCTTACATAAAATAAATAGAGTTTAAGTTTTCCCTATTCCCTACTGTTGAAAGGGTGAGCAGTGAAAAACAATGAATAGGAAAACTGACTGCTGTACTGGATAGAAGCCCAGCGTAATGCGAACATCCGTCCCCGTTTATTTGGACAAATACAAACACTTAAGTACTGCAAAGGCAGTGAAGCAGGAAAAATGTAAAAAGTTCTAAAATAAGTAAAATTCTTTGATCGATAATGTTATAAAGACGATATCGTGCAGCTGCCGGTCAGGAAAAGCCCCCTTATATAACTAAGGAGAAAACCTGAACCCTCCCGAAAGCAGAGCCAGACACGTAACAGGAATCTCTTGGGAGAGAGGTTGAACTGGAATACAAAATTATGAGTACATCAACGACGAACTACAATAAATTCAAATGACACAAAAGAAAAAAAAGCATTGACAAACGAAATTCAGGCAGCGATGTCAGCTTAGAATGATCACCTCAGTAAAATCCCGCCCTTTTATACTTGACTCTCCGTGACAGCTGTCAATAAGCTGGAACCGTGAAAACAATAATTTGCTGCTATTCTTAGAACCGCAGCAAATAACAATGTTAGATTTTACCTTATTTCTATTTTAAACTCAACGTACTGCGCCCACATTTTACAATTGCAGTTTTATTGGCGAAGCTGAGGGCATAATATTATGGTTTCACCAACGCAAACATCGGAATGATGTCAGAATTTCAACTGAGACTTCAAGCGAATGGAAAGAAATGTTTAGAGGATGCGCCAAGGCTCAAATTTTGAATGTTTTCGAGGACGACTCCGTATACAACACTGACAAAAGCAGCATCAAGATGTATGCATATGACCATCAAATGTATGTTGCTAGTGAGAAGGTGGAAGAGGTGGAAAGGACCCCAACAAACGAGAGAAGGGAATCTCAAATTGGTACCAATTCAATTTGTTGAAGTGTAATCCTTACAAATTCTCAGTCGATTAGTTTAAGGCAGGGCTACATGAACGAAGTAATGAAGATCAAATTTAAGTCCTCGACAAATATTTAGAAAGTGGTCCAGCAGTGAAGCTATTAGATGTCACTTTTGATGAACATCTGAAGTTTACTAGCCCCGTAGATGAACTATCTAAAAGAGTATCTAGGAAAATAGGGGTCCTGGTGAGACTAAAAATTTTAATATCAACATTACTATCAAAGCTTAGAAATTACAAATCTTTTATTTTGCCACAATTAACTTATTGTCAGACGGTCTGGCACTTTTGTAAAAATCTGATAGGAGAAAGATTGAAAGACTCTACGAGAGAGCGCTAAGATCAGTACATTGTGACAGACATAGACGGACATACTGCATAGTCTATTTTATCACGAGGAGCTCAGGAAGGATAATTTAAAACCTATACAAACTCCCGGAATAATTATTATTTACATATAAAAAATTGCAATGATACATTGTGTAAAAAGGATCTAAAAATATATATAAAATACAAGTAACAATTAAAAAGTATTAACACATTTGTAATTTATAATGAGCATTTACAATTGACGTCTAAGGAAGGTTTCGATTTGAATAAATGTTTTTTTAAAAGTCGCGAGATCCTCAGACTGATGAACTTCTGATGGCAAATTGTTCCAGATGCGAATTACATGTATTACATGATTGAAAGAATGCCGAAGCCATGATGTTCAATGATGATGAGATATTTTGTTGTTGCACCTTGAAGCCAAAGCCTCGCAAATCATTCTTGACGCATTTACGTATCATAAAAAAAGCTTATAGATATTCGGGGGCATCAATTTTTAGACACCCAAAAAACAAGACTAATGATAGGAAAATTCTGCGGTATTCTAAGAATTGAATACCAGCCGCTTGCATCATAAGAGAACGATTTGGCCAAATAGAAAGCTATAGACTTTGACTGGCCCTTTCCAATTCCTTAGAGTAGGCGCACAGTACTCGAAATGCCTTGTAAAGCCTTTTCATAGTTTCGAACAGGAGAAAGCGAAGTGATCGTCTCAGTGCTGCTGTCGTTCTCTAACTCCTTTTCCAACTGGAGAGAAATATGTTCCTTAAAAGCAAGCTTTTTGTCCAGAGTTACTCCTAAAATTTTTAAGTGTTCAGAAACAGTTACGGACGCATTATCGATTCGGAGGGCGAATTCATAATTTGAATGACCAAGGACGAGAGCTTGTGTCTTGTCTGGGTTTATTATAAGATAATTTACATTGAACCAGTCCGATAAGGAGCTTAAGGCATCGTTAATTGGTGACAAATTTTAAGACGGCTGCAGACGTATCAGCAGTATAGTTACATAGTTATATCTTCCGCGTATAATCTTACCGAGGTATTTGAGCAAAGTGATTTAAGACGCTTTAAAAGATATTGAACAGGATAGGGAAAAGAGGAGAGCCTTGGGGAACACCAGCACTGATGTCTTTCCATTGTGAAAATGTTCCTTGTATCTTGAATCTTTGTTGTCGACCTTTAATGTAGGCGGCTAACGAGTCCAGAGCACTATCTGCCATCCCATACGCCTTAAGCTTGGCCAAAAGGAGATTGTGACAGACCGAGTCAAACGCTTTGCTTAGGTCGACTGCTACGACGGCAACATTGACTTCATTGGTCAAGATTATTATATTTTATTGACTGATTGTGAGTGATCTCGCTAGGGGAGGTTAATACACTTTGGCATTGGTGGAGAGTGTTGATTAAGATAAATTTTTCTAAGGTTGTCATATCCTGTATTGTCACAGTGTAGCCCATCGATAACTCGATACCCTCAGATTTACCTATTTCGCTACCTGCCAAGAAAATTTCAGAACAACGCGAAAAACTGGCAATGCTTACAAGTTTCCACGGGAAAATTCAAAGAGGTGACCGGGTCCCAACTCATTAACAGGAGAAACTCCTTTCAGACGAAGATGTGGCGAAATTTTATAAATTGCATGAGGCGTACGACTTGGCGCAAGACCACCAAAACATCGATTATAATAGAGCTTTTTGATTCTCGGTAGAAAAGCCATTGGTATGTTCGTCAAAGTGGATAGCGTGGAAGCTTTGCAAAAGGACATGCAAGAAGAATTCATAATTAACTCTGCGTTGTCGTGGAAACTTTGCAAACGGACATACAATAAGCAAGGAGATTTTTTTTTTATAATTAACTCGGCGTTTCCGTCTGTGGGGTGGTATTACGGCAGTGCGCTGCGGCCGCCTGCTCTTGGTTGCAAAAAAAAAAAAAAACTGCGAAAAAACCTGGACAATAACTTTACGAAGAACCAGCAAAATTCCTTGTCTAAGAATTTTACGACATAACTTTTTAAAATTATTATGTATGGAAGAGAAAGCTGATGCAACTCCCGAAGTTCCACCCGCTAAGTTTGAAGTTCCAGCCGCACCCATTTAAGTTAGCTCAAAAATCAAAACTAACATGGCTTGCAGAAAATCCTGGCCGAGTTGCGGCTGGTAAAATATTAGAAGAATATAACCGCTTATATACAACGGTGAAAGTCATCAGTGACAAGCTGACTCATCCCTGTGTAATAGAACTTTCTTCACGTTGTATACTACTGACTTCGCCTTATTTGCGCTTTTTTAAAAGAAAATCAGAGAGGAAGTCGTCTTCGTAAATACTTAGCCCTAACCCACTCCAACACCCATATTCATCATTTTCCCATTACATTTGTTTTAAATTCATGTTGTTCTTTAAAAAGCTGTTAATTTTCTTAATACAGTGGAGTATCAATCGGACCACCATGCATGAAACAACGTTACGATTACGAATACGAATACGATTCCCTGATGAAATAAGCCTACATAATTGTTGTTAAACATACAAACCCGAATTCCCAAACATTGTTTTGTTGAAATGGAGAAAGTAAGTAAAGAGTATTGTTGGAGAGGGGACGGTCGGGGGTCCGTACGCCAACAATACCTCCAGCTTAGTATGCGCATCCTCGGTGTGATACTAAAGGGTGGCCGGCTTTGTATGGTGTTTAGACTGTTAAAAATAAGATCACTTACCACTCCATGAGATCTTAGTGTACCCTCCAAATATGTACGTCCCTCCGACTCTTATTATTGTTACAGTTGGTCCTTTGTTGTCACATCTGCTGTGAAAAGTACTGGCAGCCCAGCCATCCACGGACGCTCGCCAACAGCGCTTCCATTTTGAAGATTCGCTTTGGGCGACTGGTTTGAGCCATGTGCTTAAATTAGCTAAGTGATGCACATTATCTCCTACGATAACGGAGTCAGTCAGTCCCTCTGCAAAACCTGATATAAGGGAAGGGAAAAGAAAAAGTGATTCAGGTAACAATTTTTTCGAAATCTGTATTAAGCGGACACCGTATTAAGCAGATACCCTCTATTAAGAGGACAGTAGCCGAAGTCCCCAAATTTATTTCCCTTATTGACTTTATATGAAACCTTTATTAAGCGGATACCTCTATTAAGCGGACGTGGACACCTAAAGAGTATCTGAATGGTCATTTCTATTGTTGCCAACTTGTATTAAACGGACACTTGTAATTAAATTCTACCATCCAACTTGCCAGACACCGGAAATGCGAAAGATTGCCACCCACAAATTTTTCGATTTTTACATTAAAAAACGTGAGTTGACGAACTTATTTGACGAGTTTCACAGTACAGTATTGTTTTCTCTTTCGTTTTGTTTGTATACAGCTTGTTTCACTCATCTGAACATAAATGAACAACTTGTAACATGAAATACCGTAAATAAAATACGTTAATTACAATCATTCATTAAAAATATTTCGCCGTTTCTGATTGGGTCAAAGCCCCTAATCAAATGGCGTTTACCATGTTTGGAGGATGGAGCAATATGCTATAAAATCGAAGGTATAATGCTCGAATCTTATAAATATAAAATTGATCAACATCGTTTCCAGGTGCGGCTGCCTAGCTGATTATTCACCAGTGAACTCTGAAAAAAAAGGCGTTCACGACTATCCGGAACAGCTGAATTTTAAACTAAAACTGAACGGAAGAATTGCAAGAATACACAAAACAAATCACTAGATGGATGTTATCTACTTTTTGGGGAGCACTGCAAGACTGTGCCGAGAAATAGGCCAAAGATTTGAGGAAAGTCTTCGATGAGGTGAAATTGTTAAATAAGAATTAAGAAATATTTTGAAAGAAAAATAAAACAACGAATGTAATGTCCTACATCCTTATTCAAATCTAATCCTTATTATGAGCTAGATGATTTAAATTTACGCTATTTGCACGTTGGACGAAAGTGAGGTAGCGCATCAGTCTTAAGTGGCGGCTCATGATACAGAGTTATTTAAAGGTCAAAAATGCCATTTTCAGACATTTTCGTTTTGCTGACTGGTTTGAGAGACCTAAATTCACGCCAAAATCGTCGGTGAAAGCGCCTTGATAAGAGTACAAGGAAGTTGCTCGCTCCTTGCTATAGCCTCCAGCAAAGGCATAACATGAGGTATGACGTCAAACAATGCTGGATACGAAAATTTACCGGCGGATTTAGCGGATTGCCGGACTCATTATCCACCATTTTGAACGCTACGATGTCGCACGTCCTTAGGAAACTTCTATAATTAATGTTATAACAGTAAAGTAACTGTCCTTTAGATTAGCTAATTATTCTCTCCTACCTCTGCAAATTTTTCCATCGCCGTTGTATCCTGCCTTGCAGGTGCAGATATACGATCCACGAGTATTGGAGCAGTTGGCATTGACGTCACATACAGGAGAAGAAGCACTGCACTCATCAATGTCTAGAAAAACAAAAATATTGGAGTTCCACAAGGATCTATCGTAGGCTCCTTGCAAACAAAATAAAATGAAATAATAATAATGAAAATATTCAACTTTGTTCGATCCCCGTTGAAAACAGTCTGAATTTCCTCAACGGGGTTCCACGTCAGAACTTTTCAACGTTTTTCATAGATCTCTCATAATTATCTCGTAAGTATAACCCGAGGCATATGATGTCATGCACTGCCGGTATATAAACGGAATGGATTCGATGGATTGCCGATTTCTGCTGGTCGTCAAAAGTCCCTGGGAATCTGCCATCTCCGTTGTTATCACATGGTAAAACGACGTTTATTATACCTTGGCACATTTTCTCGTCGCCTGTATATCCTGACTTGCAGGTACAGATATACGATCCACGGGTATTGGAGCAGTTGGCATTGATGTCACATACGGGAGAAGAAGCACCACATTCGTCAATGTCTAGAACAACAAACATATTGATTGATGAAAAAAAAAAATTGAAGGGCATTAACTCAGGCCCTAACATGTGACGCGAGGAGTACCCATTTCCCCTTAAAATTTATCTGTCTTTCTCCATGTCTTATCAGTTGAAATCTCTCTGTTGCTGTTGCTTCAAAATTTTGTTTTTCTTTTTCTGCTGGGCTAGGTGCGCTCTAAGTAATTACAGCATTACTTTCGCAGCTAAACAACGGACTTCAAACGGTTTATTTCTTGCGCGGCCTTTTAAAGAATTTGTATAAACTTACATCTACCCAAAAAGTTGCTTGAGAAAACGCCGACATTTTGCAACGCTTCCACCGGTTTACCCGCCAAATGACGTCTAAGAAACTAGCGCAGAAATTTCATACTGATGACGCGTCACTACCCAGATCTGGGTAGTGCTTCTGATTGGTTTAATCAAATTTCCCACGCTGCACGACCAATCAGAAGTACTACCCAGATCTGGGTAGTAACAGGTGATCAGTACGGAATTTCTGCGCTCGTTTCTCAGACACCATTTGGTGGGGAAACCGGTGGTAGCGTCGCCAAATGTCGGCTGTTTTCCGCCAGGCTTCCCAAAAAGTTTCTAATAACAGAAGTATAACCCGAGGCATGATCTCATTCACTGCCGGTATATAAACGGACTGGATTCGATGGATTGACGATTTTTACTGGTCGTCACAAGTCCCTGGGAATCTGCCCTCCTCGTTGTTATCACAGTAACTCAACCTTTAATCCTACCTTGGCAAGTTTTTCCATCGCCTGTATATCCTGCCCTGCAGGTACAGATGTACGATCCACGAGTATTGGAGCAGTTGGCATTGATGTCACATACAGGAGAAGAAGCACCGCATTCGTCAATGTCTAGAACAACAAACATACTGATTGATGAAAAATTATTGAGGTGCATTTAAACTCAGGCCCTAACATGTGACGCGAGGAGTACCCATTCTTTCGTGGCATGAGTCATTTTTTCCCTTAAAATTTATCCTTTTTTCTCCGTGTCTTATCAGTTTAAATCTCCCGGTTGCTGTTGCTTTATAATTTTGTTCTTTTTTTTTTTCTACTGAGCTAGGTACACTACTAAGTACGTACAGCATTACTTTTCGCGGTCAAATAACGGACCTCAGACGTCTTAATTCTTAATGCGCGGCCTTTTAAAGAATTTGTATACACTTACATTTACCCAAAAGTTTCTAATAACAGAAGTATAACCCGAGGCATGATGTCATGCACTGCCGGTATATAAACGGACTGGATTCGATGGATTGACGATTTTTACTGGTTGTCACAAGTCCCTGGGAATCTGCCATCTTCGTTGTTATCACAGTAAATCGACCTTTATCCTACCTTGGCAAGTTTTTCCATCGCCTGTATATCCTGCCCTGCAGGTGCAGGTATACGATCCACGAGTATTGGAGCAGTTGGCATGGATGTCACATACAGGTGTAGAAGCACCGCATTCGTCAATGTCTAGAACAACAAACATATTGATTGATGAAAAAAATTATTGAAGGGCATTTTCTCATGCAGGCCCTAACATGTGACGCTGGGAGTACTCATTCCGTCGTGAAATGAGTCTTTTTTTCCTTTTAAATTTATCTTTTTTTCTTCGGGTCTTATCAGTTTAAATCTCTCGGTTAATTTTTCATCAGTCGCCACATCTGTGACTAAATATGAAACATTTAAGTCAGTTGTCTAATAATCATAAATTAACCTATCAGAGGGCACAATCAGCTTAACGGCGGTCGCCGATTATATAACTGACTAAACTCACCATTGGTCTCCGTATTACAATAAGCCAAGACAGATGTACCAGATTTTATAGTGGAAAACCAGTATTTCCCGCTAACAGCGTGTCCTTCACTCCTCTTTATTTCGTCACAAGTCTCAGCTGGTAGTTCTTGAATTGAACCAAGGGGAACTGAAAGGTTAAAAAACAATTCTTTAATATCAGTTTGAGTTTACCCTTACATAGTTTTTACTTTATGCAGGGGGCGCTACTCAACAAAGTTTTATACAGGGAGGCTCCGCCCCGAGGTCCAACGCCTTACCCTTTTACATAACGTTTTTGACAAAAAAGGTACCCCTTTCGTATTCCTTCCATTCACGAATGCTACCTATTGAACATACCTATTTCAGAACTACCGTAAAATTCAACGTTAAAGCCCCGGGCTTATATAACTTCATAAAGAGTTTTGTGCTGTAAATGCTCTGTAAATGTAAATGTAAATGTAAATGCTCTGTAAATGTAAATGCTCTGTAAATGTAAATGCTCTGTAAATGCTCATGAATAAGCACAAAACCAGAAAAATACCCGTCGCTTTTTCTCACTCGCATAAAATGCATCTGTTCGCTCCTTTAAGCCATTTTATAGGCCTGAAGAGATGACTAACTTTCCTACGCTTTCATATACTTCATGCATTGAAATTTCTTAGCTCTTTGATATATAAGATTACCCCCGGCACTTAATGATGGCTTACCTCGTTGTAAATCGCGTCGATAGTAAGATCTGTCTTGGTTTGGAATGAAGTCTTCGGGCCTGGCTTCCTTTGTCCTGTTGTTAAACTCGCACGTGAGAAGAGAGATAACCCAGTTAAAACTTTGGCATCGATTGTCTTCGCGACACTTGAATACGCACGTAAACGGAAGTTCAGCGAGAAGAGTATCGTACACGTGTCCTCGTAACATCCAGCCCACAATGGAGCTCTCGGATCTACCACCTGCAGGACATTTTTGAGTTACTGCGCTGTAGAGCAGGAGAGCCAGAACATATACACGGAACACTATTCTTGCCGTCATGTCTGGAACTAAAGAACATAAAAGTATTTTGTTAAAACACAAACTTTACAAAAGGGGAGCTTATAACCGATTAATTCGTGGAACGTTTCCGCCTGGGGAAAAACTTGCATACTGCAAAGCATCTAAAATAGCCAATTTTCAAAGCGAATTTGATAAAACTTGTAGAGACCATAACAAACACATTTTTGTTCGAAATAATTTATTGATTATTCCTCCTTTTCAAAATCCACTTGCTGGTTGTTAGCTAGAGGAATTAATAAGCCGGTAAAACACTTTAACAGAAAAACTTACTCGAAGGTGGCTGCGTTTTCGCCATTTTCTCTGTTGTCACACGCACTTTTCTCCACGAATTTTCAGTTTTATCGCCGTACATGAGAAATTCCCGGATGTTTCGCGGCATTCTGTGCGATGAGTTATTCTTCTAGTTGTTTTAAAACTCAAAATACAAGATGGTTGTGATTATAACTAGCTGAAGGAAAACAATTGTTGACTCCAGACGACAATTATTATTAAAAAAAAAAAGAATTACTGCTTGAAACTTTCACTAGTTCTCTTCACCCACACCCCGCAAAAAAATAATCCTAGTATGTACATTTCTAAGTAAGGCAAAACTTTTATCGTTAAAACCCAGCAAAATGAAAGACCCTTAAAAGCAAGTGAAATTGAGAAAACTTAAAAATGACCTCAGAAAGTAGAGAAAAAGCGCTTGGAGACCCTCAAATCAGGTTTCTACGATTCATTTGTGGTACGTATGCAAATAAGCTTCAACCTTGTTTACATGTTTTTTTTGGAGAAGAGTAAAGAATGGCAGAGGAAATTATGGTGCCAAACTATAACTGCTGGATATGGAACAAGCGCGTTTTTAACTAGTCTTACAATCAAACATTTCAGTGAAAATCCTTTTTATTCGCATTCACGTGTACCTTTATTTCAAAGATTATTTTAAAAAATTTCTTGCACTTACTAAAGACATCCCTGAAAACATACAAAGACTGAATTTGTGGAATTAAGATAGGACTTATACTTAATTTATCATGATAGAAGAGCAAAATCTGAAAATATCGATTCCTCAATTCTGCGGTCAGTGAACCCAATGCCAATGGGGTGGTAGCTTTTACTTTTGAAGGATAATTGTTTCCAATTTGACGGCTAACTGCTAGAATTTAGAGGTTTTGAAGGTTATTGAGTGAAAATTGGGTCCAAAAATTGACGTAAATATCAACTTCTGTATGAATTAATATCAACTGATGTGTTTGGAGGTTGTCTTGGCCTTTCACTTACCAAATTTCAAGATATTTTCAGATATAAGCAGGTCGTAAGGTACTGTATTGTCTAGAAAGAGTGTTTCTTGGCAAGAAAACTGGTTTTTCCAGTTTAGAAATTCTTTAGGAGCCGGAATTCCGTCAAGTTCAGCAGAAATAGTAAGATTTGAAACACCTAGAAAATTTTTGACGGTTAATCTTAAACTGCATTTTTGGCGGTTGACAGTTGAATATAACATCTTTTGACGGCTGACGGTGAATTGTCAGGCCGTTGGACGACCGACGGTAAACCCCATTGAGACCTTCATACCAGGCCATAAGCTACACGAAAATATCGGAAGCTCCTGGATTCTGTTGCATTTAAAACATTTATTCTGAAATTGACTTAAAATAAATCAGTAAGGCTTTTTTCAAAGTTTCAGCAGTTTGCGTTTTCTTTGACTCATTGATTGGTTTCTTTTTTCTTTCTTGCTTAGAGTGTGTAAGCCTTTCCAATTAATCGCTGAGGCACCTGTGACAAGACCTAACCAAAACAACGGCATACGTACCATCAGGAGCTTCTAATAAACAAATAAACAACCACAACGGCGACAACATGAAGTGAATTTGGGTCGTTTTTCTAGCTAGTTAAAATGCAGATCGACTTAAAACAATAACAAAACAAAACAAAAACCACATCCAAAATAGGAAAGAAAGCAAAAAATCGTTTGTTGACGTCTTTTACAGACCGTAGTCTGTACAAATTTCCGAAATGTGATGCATTAGTGGAGAGTAGCAAATTTGATATTAATTAATATTTAATAACAAACACAATGCAAAATGTTGCCATTAGTAAAATGCATTAGTTGTAGAGTATCAGATTCGTCCTGCAGAGTAAACTGATCATCAAAAGTTGGCTTTCTAAACTAATACTTTTAAATAAACACTTTGGCCACCGGTCATTTCGCTCCCGATCGACTGCAGCCAGGGGCACCCCCGCTCAGTGATATTTTCCTTTTTAATGAAGCAACTTGTTTACATCAACAAAAAATTGTGCCGAAAATGCAAATAGAACAGAACAAAATTTTCTAAGGAGTGCTTAACGCTGTATCAATATTTTCTACTCTTTATCCTAAATTTTAAAATATTCAAAACCCCAAATCAAAAAAGAATCAATAGTTATTATTTTTTTGCTGAGTTTTAGAAAAAAAAAATCCTATATTGAAGAAAAAGCAAATTCAATGCTGCAGTTGTTTACTTTTAGTGGGTGAATGGAGACGCATTTAAGTCTCATATGTTTTTGTTTTGCTTTGAGTTTTTCAAAATTATATTTCAAGGATGGGCCCAATTTTTAAGGAGCGTGAATAAAAATTAGCAGGTGAATTAAGTATTTAAGTCATGAGATTCGATGTCAGGTTTGCAAATAATAGGACCTGAAGTTACACAAACACTTTTTTGCATTACTGTAGAATGTTATTTATCTTCCTAAAAGACTGTAGATTGCAAATTACATTTTCTTTCTTGTATTGATATAGTTAATGCATTTAGAATGTCTGAAAATATTTGCTGAAGCATATATACGGATAGCATCAAGCATCACAGTCTAAATCGTGAACTTTTACATTAGAAGTTTTCCTTTAACGATAATTATGTTTCTTTAACTGTTGCTAGACACTACGCACATCAAACTTTCACTTGGTTATCGTTACTTGCTTTGTAGATTCCACACAGAAATGTTGTTTGGGTCTTCTAGTCTTTTAATTTATTAGCATGCGTAACTGACTCTTAACCCACACTGAAGCCTTATTGTTATAATATTATTGTGAAGAGCTTCCTCGAATCATCTGTTTTGTTAGAGAACTAACGTGCTTGGGCAAAGCATAGTGTTTTACTAAACCACACCGTTTCCTAAAAGTCGTAAAATTCGTTTTTATTCTTTTTATGTGCCATTTTTTTTGCCATCTATCAAAATGCATGCCATTAAAAAATAGTGTTCAGTTAAGATGAGCATCAGAGTCTGTATATTATTTAACAAAAACTTTAAATTAGAAATAATCAGGCAATATTCTGATCAAGAAGGAAGATTTATTATTATAGACATGAAAATCGATAACAAGGTTTTAACTTTGGTTAACACTTTATGCACCGAACAAGCAAGGACAATCCTACTTTTTCCCCAAATCTTCTCGATCATCTGTTCTCTTTTGAATGTGAAGAAATTATTACGAGAGGCGACTTCAATTTGGTCATGGACGGTTCAGAAGAATAAAAAAGGAGGAAACGCGACAACGCATAGAAATCCGCTTAAAAAAGTCCAGAACATAGCGAACTCGCTGGACCTGATAGATGTGTGGCGAACCCTAAATCCAGACGGTAAGCGTTTTACCTGGCGGAGAACTAAACCTAAAGTGCAACGTCGTCTCGACTATTTTATGATCAGTTCAAGTTTAACCACAGAAATGACATTTTATATTTTACCGGTTGTAGGACCGATCATGCCCTCACTACAATCCACCTTGCTAGTAATAATTATCCTAGAGGCCCGGGTTTCTGGAAACTCAATACATCTTTTCTGTTGGACAGCGAGTATATTGAGATAATTAAAAAAACTATTGATGAAGTTGCAATGGAGAACAGAAACAATGACGATGTAGATGTTGTCCTCCTCTGGGACACTATAAAGCTGCACATTCTTTCTAGCTCGATAAAATATGCAAGAGAAAAAAAAGGATAAAAAAAGGAAGAAAACGAATTCTCACCAGTTTGTAGGAGTCGCGGCGGCGGTAGTGAGTATCTTGAACCTTTTTCCGTAGTTGATGCGTTCACGAAGAGTAAGGGGTGTCCCCGATAACGGAATTCGTCTTAAACAGTGTTGCAATGGTGAGAATTCGATATCAATTAATATTTAATAACAAACACAATGTAAAATGTTTCCATAAGTAAAACGCATTTTTAGTTGTAGAGTATCAGATTCATATAGCAGAGTAAATTGATCATCAAAAATTGGCATTCTAAACTAAATTTTTGAAATAAACACTTTGGCCACCAGTCATTTCGCTCCCGGTCAGACTCAGCCAGGGACGCCCCCGCTCAGTAATATTTTCCCTTTTTAATAAAGCAACTTTTTTACATCAACAAAAAATTGTGCAGGAAATGGAAGATAGAACAGAACAAAATTTTCAAAGGAGTGCTTAACGCTATGTCAATTCTTTCTACGCTAGTAAGTAAGTAAGTAAAACGTTATTTACACAGAGTAGCCCATTCAGCTCCAAAGCTGGTCTCCATAGGGGCTCTGTATCTTAAAAATTAATTTACATCAAGAATTTTCATGAACTATTACACTTAAAAAAGCCTAATAAAAATACAATAATAGAAGTTGAGAACTAAATTAAAAATCATAAAAATACAATGCAGAATCACATTTAAAGCCTAAAATATAATAAAATATCAAAGTTATGATAAAAAGAAATGTCTTGCCCGGCAGCAGAACGTTTTTCCTAAATTTTAGGATATTAAGTACCCCTGATAAAATCAGAATCAATAGTTATTTTTTTTGTTCAGTTCTAGAAAAAAAAAATCCTATATTGAAGAAAAAGCAAATTCAATGCTGCAGTTGGTTACTTTTAGTAGGTCAATGGAGATGCATTAAGTCTCATATGTTTTTGTTTTGTTTTTTCTTTCCAAATTAATTATCGAGGATGGGCTCAATTCTTAACGGGAGCGTGAATAAAAATTAGCAGGTGAAATAAGTATTAGTCA